TCTCTCTCTCTCTCTCTCTCTCTCTCTCTCTCTCTCTCTCTCTCTCTCAAAATAAATAAACTTAAAAAAAAAGCAGCAGCAGCAAAGGGAAAAAAAGAAGAGAGAAACCCAGAAACAAATTTAACTATAGAGAACAAACTGAAGGTTACCAGAGGGGAGATTGGTGGGGAGATTCAATAGGTAATGGAGCACACTTCTGATGAAGACGGGGTGATGTGTGGAGTTGTTGAATTACTGTATTATACACCTGAAACTGATAACACTGTTATGCTGACTAACGGTAAAAACTTTTAAAAAAAGGAGGGAGTCACCTGGCTGGCTCAGTCAGTGGAGTGTAGGACTCTTGATCTCAGGGTTGTGAGTTTAAGTCCCATGTTGGGTGTAGAGATTACTTAAAAATCAAATCTTTAAAAAAATAAAAAGACAGAAATGGGATACAGTACTCTAATAAAGACCTGGTTTATGCTGTGAAAGAAGTAAGTTAATTAATTAAAATCTCGGGCCACCATGGTGTCTCAGTTAAGCTTCAACTCTTGATCTCGACTCAGGTCATGGTCTCAGTTCATGAGATCGGCCCCATGTCAGGCTCTGCACTGACGGCATGGAACCTGCTTGGGATTCTCTTTTCCCTCTCTCTCTGCCTTTCCCCCACCCCTCAAAATAAACATTTTTTTAAAAATGTATCTAGTAAAAAAAATGTGATACTACAATATAAACTAATGAAAACGGGCTTTATCAAAATATACTCACAAACTATGGCATTTTAAATCATGCAACTTAAACCCATATTACTTAATGCAGAAATAGAGAAATAGGTGATAGAACATAGAGGATCAAAGACACTTAGGTTTATTTGGGAGGTTAACTCACAATAAGGGTGTCACTTGGAGTCACAAGGAAAGGATACGCTGACCGGGAAGTGGTTTTGGAACAGCTGGGTTCTCTGTCTCTGGGAGGAAAGAAAGCTGAGTCTCATACAGCAGAATAAACCCTAGATGGAATAAAGTGTACCTTAATTCATTGGCTCAAATAAACGAGGTAGTTTTAATATTTTCCAAAAGAGACCATAAAGTTTTGCTTCAGAATACACGCAGTTTCATTTAAGCACTGTGTTCGAGTGCATACCCACACAATGGTGTTTTGTCGTTTCCAGAAAAATGGGCTTATGTCACAGCTGTGGTTTTATTAGATCTTTCCTTCGGCAGCGTCTGATAGCCCTCTGCCGATCTCCTCGTGCATTCAACTCCGTCACCGTCCAAGGCTGTGTTGTGCGGTCTGCCGTTGCACCAGTGGAACAGAATGTAACCATTCCACTAGTGTTGCATATTCAGATGTCGTAAACTCAGGACGCTTAAGTTTTCTAAGACTGGGATCTGAACACGCCCAGAATCAGATGCACACATTTCCCTCTGAGTCATGATTGTGAACTATGTGGGTTTCTTTCTCCTCTCATTAAGTTTCTTTGAAATCTGAATTTCAAAGTTTGGCTTTCAGTAACTCAGTTATTTTTTTTTTAATTTTTTTCTAATGTTTTCATTTATATTTTGGGACAGAGAGAGACAGAGCATGAGCAGGGGAGGGGCAGAGAGAGAGGGACACACAGAATGGGAAGCAGGGTCCAGGCTCTGAGCTGTCAGCACAGAGCCCGACGCGGGGCTCGAACTCACAGACTGTGAGATCATGACCTGAGCTGAAGTCGGACGCCCAACTGACTGAGCCACCCAGGCGCCCTTCAGTTGGTTATTTTAAAAGAAGAAAGTAAATTTATAAGTTTTCTTAACTGATCTGAGTAAGCTTTGTTTTGTTCCCATTTCCACCCAAACGTTAGACTAGTTTTTCACTTATATAATGAAAAGTAAGTATTAAGTTGCTCTGGATGGGCTTTGTATAGCTTAGGGATATACAAGTTTCCCCTGCTATCCGAAAGTAGACTGTTGTGTGAAACCTTTCATACACCAAAATGTGTAAAGCAAAGAAGCAGTCCCATTAATTTCCATGGAAAAACTTTTGAGAGTTCCCTCTTTGTCTTTTCTGACACCTTGGGATGCAGCTTGCTAACAGACACACAGCACAAGTCAAGATAAAGCACACACAACACAACACAGTTCAACAAAGGGATGCTTAATGCTGAGATGCTGAGTGTAGTTCCTGGGGAAGGAGCTTGGTGACGCCCTTCTCACTGCTTGGAGTACAGGCTCAGTGCAAAACAAATTTTGAATGTATCTTGGCTTTTTGCCTTTATTTATAAAAGTGAGGATCTTTGTTTTCCTTTTGGTTAGGGAAAGCAGGTCCTGTGGTAGGTCTTTCATAAAAGTCAAGTGGTACAACGGGAATTTTTGAAGGGTGTGGGATACCCATACTTAGGTATTTCCGTCCGTCTTTTTGTAGTTATTTATTAGGAAAACTGAAGTGGTGTATCTTGGTAGAATAACCCTGGAAAGGAAACGGTCTTGGGGCACCTGGGTGGCTCAGTCGGTTAAGCGTTCGACTCTTGGTTTCAACTCGGGTCATGATCTCGTAGTTTGTGAGATCAAGCCCCATATCAGGTCTGTGCTGACGATGCAGAGCCTGCTTGACCTTCTCTCTGTGCCT